AACTTGGCAGGGCTAAGACCCCTTACAAGGGGTGATAATCAAGAAAAGAGAAAAAAATAGGGAGCCACTGGGTCAGAAAAGCTGAAACTCTTGTGTTAAAGCATCCAGGGATCAAGTGTAGATTCTAAATTGTTTAAATCATGTCCCCCTCCTCCTAAGAATAGACCTAAACCACAATAGGTATTACAAGTAGGAAAATCTGGTGTAGAACAGCATGACCAGTTACTCTGGTTAGTGTTATGGACCATGGCCTTCTTGTATTCATGATCATGATCATAGAGAAAACGAACCTTAGCTACTCTCCTCCTTCAACAGCAACAAGAAAAAATTGCTTTACGGAATGCCTATTTTCATTAACAAAGTTCACATTTTGAATTATATTTTTTTTCCAGATTGATGAATGAACCAATGCATTATGTCAGAGGAATCTAGCTGGAGCACCTATTTAGCAGCCAGGACACATAGATGTACCTGTACAGTTGATACAGATAATCTCAACGGCACATTTCTAAATGATGGCCAAAAAAATCTAATAAAGACACTGTCAGTTTAAAACTCTTTGAAAGAAATCCAGACCAGAAACAATGGATATTGATTTTTAAGCTCCTCCAAATGTAAAAGGGGTTTTATTGAAGCCAAGACCTGGATACACCCAAGGATATTTAATATTACACCCCTTCAACATAAAATTTTGAATTTTAGTTTGCCTATCTAGTCAAGAACATGGATTTTTTGACATTTGATACACTTTATAATGTTATATTGACATTTTTTTCAAGATTTCTTTACTGTAAACTATGTACAGTACCGACCAGACCCAACCTGACACCAAAGCAGTCCCAGAAAGCAGTCCCCGGGACTGCTTTGGGACCGCTCTGGGACTGCTGTGGGACTGCTCTGGGACCGCTGTGGGACTGCTCTGGGACCGCTATGGGACTGCTCTGGGACTGCTATGAAAAGCAGTCCCAGCAGTCCCAGCTGCCCTGGGACTGCTTTCTGGGACTGCTTTGTTCACTCATGTGTGAAAAAGGTTCTGAGTGACATGATAGCTCCGCCCCCTTGTGTATTCTGAATTTGCAGGCTCCCTGTTGTTTTGTTTACTTGCAGCAGAATGGAGTTTAAACTGTTTAATAAGCAAGGATTTCTTACACTCTTTTAATAAGTAGCTATAGAGATTATTATGGTTAATTAATATTTTCAAGGATTGTATATTTACACAAATTAATGTGTATTTAGAATAAATTTAAAAAAATAAAGTTGATAAATAAGGAATTTATGAGAAAATTTTTATCCCTAAAAATAAACTACAAGTTTATGAGAAAAAAATAGCTACATATGGGCCTTTTTTAATTATTTAGTGTAAAATTATGTACTAAAAATTTGCATTGGTACTATTTAAAAATAATCATTACAGTTAGATATAAGATTTTTTTATTGGCCATATAATGATAAAATCTATTTAAAGTTCCTTCTGGTGGAAAATATTTAATTCACGTTTAATTTTCTGTATAAAAAATAAACATGGGAACCAGTAGCAATCACAGAAGAATTATTAATATACCCAAGAATTGTGATTAAATATTCATGTTCAGTGTAATTCACATATGTACATATAAGTGTGAAAGCCTTCTTCCTCCAATAAATATTATTAATAATTATTTCAATTTTTATGTGCGTACATGTTGTGTTCATAAATGACCTTCGTGTACATGTAAGGATTCCTGGCATACTACCCAGAATCAATTTCTACTGCCTTTTATAGTTTCATTGTTTATTGGAAATCTCATTTCTGAGTTAGCTCCGCCCATTAAATTAATAAACCCCGCCCACTGGGACTGCTTTCTGGGACTGCTGGGACTGCTCTCTGGGACCGCTGGGACTGCTGGGACTGCTCTGGGACCGCTGTGGGACTGCTTTAGCAGTCCCAGAAAGCAGTCCCCGGGACTGCTCTGGGACTGCTTTGTGTCAGGTTGGGTCTGGTCGGTACTGTATTTCAGCAAAAAGTACATTTACAGATGATTTTTCAAAAATTGCTTTAAAAATACAATTGAAATAATTAGATCATGTCTCATAAATGGTTAATCACAGTTACCACAGAAACCAAATATTTGTTTTAAAGAAGTTAGGTACAAAAAAAAAATGTTGTGTCTTTCATTATTTTAGCTAATGGCCACTCATACAGTTTTCTTCATACAAACTAATCACATTGACTAAATTGTATAGGCAAATACAATATTTTTGGAGATGTTGTCATGGTAACCAGATACAAATCACAAAAGCATATCTAAAAAAAATATATTTTCATGCATTTACAATAAACTGTGAAAATAATACATGTATGTTAGTCAATAATTATTTTGTATTTCATGGAGATTTTGAAATAAAGTCAATTTATTTAAAAAAGCATTTCCAGAATAATTTGTTACCATGGTTACAAAAAATGTATGAGAAATCCACTGGTTTTATCTAATATTTGCAAGGTTTAGGAGAACATTTTTTATCTTATATTATCAATTTTTTTTGCTTGTGGTATTTTTTCCACAACATACTCTGAAAATGATATATTTTGGTATTTTCTTGAAAAATGAATTTTTGTGATATTCTGTTGCCATGGTTACAGAATATTTTTGAAAAACCCATGGGTTTTGTTTGTTTTATTAGAATAAGGATTGTGGTCTTTCTATCCCACGCTTTCAGTTTTCTTTACCATGTGGGATTTTTTCTAACTATGCTCTTAAAAATGGTTATTATTGTGAAAAATGAATTTTTGTGACATTTTGTTGCCATGGTAACAGAATATTATTTAAAAACCCATGGGTTTTATTTAATTTTATTGAAATTAAAAAAGTGCTCTTTCTATCCCATGCTTTCAGTTTTCTTTACCATATGTGGGATTTTTTCTTACTATGCTCCTAAAAACGGTTATTATTGTGAAAAATGAATTTTTGTGACATTTCGTTGCCATGGTAACAGAATATTTTTTAAAAAACCCATGGGTTTTATTTAATTTTATTAAAATTAAGAATGTGCTCTTTCTATCCCATGTTAACAGATTTCTTTAACATGCGGGCCTTTTTCTTAATATGCTTCTAAAATATGTTGGATTTGAAGAAATATTGTGAAAAGTGAATTTTATGAAATGACCTATGTTAAATTGAAATTCAGCACCTTTAATAAATCCTATATAATTTTATCCTTATGGTAATCATTTATCATTTTGTATGTACTTCTCAGGAAAAAAAGAATTATTTATGGTACTATCATCAAAAAAGCTCTGTTCCTGTGTTCAATAATGGCTAAATTCACATCTTTTTCAATTTTTTGCTTGGTTGCCATGTGCATTTACATGGTGCATTGTTTCCATGGCAACAAAGGCTGGCCAAAAAAATTATGTTGTCCAATGATGTTCCCTTGGTCCATGAAGCAACATATTAAAATTTTGTAAAAATCTGAAGTGGTCATGAATCACCCCCTGCCTGGTTCTTACAAATAGCTGTACTTAAATGCTTGGAAAAATGCATCACGTTTTTCCGAGAGCGATTTAAAAAATTGGCCTTTTAGAAACACACGTGTAGTATTTCTTGTAGTAAACAACAATGCAACTCATTGAGCTGATTGGTCGATTTGTCAGTCACGTTGGTTCCTCACTTAGTATGTAAATTTATTCCGACGTCACAGAAAATAGTTTCCTCGACCTGATATACATGTGGCCCCTTCAATAAAATGACAGACGATCTTTTTTTAACTTGTTCAAGAAAATTTTGCTAATTGATACTTATAGTGCCCCCTACTCAAAATGATTGGCCTTGCTCCCCCTTCTCCCAACTGAAATTGCTTTTTATAAGCCTGAAATTTTTGGGGAAAAAATTAGAATGACAAAAGATTCTTTGCTTAAATAATTTTATACATATAAGACAAAATTCTTTAATGTCAAGTAGAAAGTACTCAGACATTTTTTTTTTTATAAAACTTGTGAAATTCTGAAACTTCAGTGCTGCTGTATATGATATGCAATATACCTTGCTAGTCTAGCACATTATTGCACATGCAACTTGTGCCATTCCTGACAAATTAATTTTTTTTATTAAAAAATAACATATTTAGTAGATCACATTATTTAACTTTCAGAATGGTGTGAACAAATTTGTAAAACTCTTAGAGGCAAATTAATGCACACAGTCAAATATTCAAGGTAAATATTTTTCACTGTTTTATAATGTTTGTGATTATTCACTATTGTGTTATCATTATTCTTGCCATTCTTTCTGGAAATTATTTTGTAAGTAGATTACATGACTTTATTTTGGACATCTAATTGTATTCCAATGAAAATTTACTAAAAAGTTTTCAAGATCTATTGTTTTAATAATTACAAGAAAGTATAGCAAATTCAGAGGATATCCATACACAATAATCTGTGCTTTGATTCATTAAGCATTTATAATATCTATGAATTTAAACCACTTATAAAGTAAATTTATAGCATAAATGTCATGAAATTGAATTAATTTGGTTCATTTCATTAGGTGAATGTCTACAGTCTCACTTGGTGGATACGCAAGATATTGTTGAAAATGAAGAAAGAATGGCATTTGACATTCAGGATATTAATGACAGTATGTACACTTGTATGAATACAAATAGTATATATTACCAATGTAAAAAAGCCATCAATATGATCATAGTGGTAACTAACTTTATAATGCCACAATAAGTCAGAACAATTAAATTTTTATTTCAAAGTAATTATCATAAATAAAATATGAACTGCAAGGCTCATATGATATCTAATACATATAATCAGTTTAAAATATGATATCATTATGAAAATTGACCATGACTTTGTAAGGGTTAAGTTTATTTAGTTAATTTCATTCTTATCTAAAGTCATATCTGATTGCAGTAAAAATATAACTAAGAGAATTTATAAACTTTTTTCTATCAATATACTGTATTCATTTGTTCATTACATGATGATCAATTCAATAATTATAGGTGTACCAAGTTCACAAGAAACTTTTACAGGGAGTTTTAATTACAGACATGGAGTTTGAGATTTCCTGTGAGTATTTGACACTTCCAGAAATCACTTACATGAAAACTTGGTATTTTAATTAGTTTACTATATTACTTCAATTTATAAGGGCCCTACTCTGCGGGCACCCCATAGTGATCAGTCTGCCCGTCCTTCCATCCATCAGTCCATCTGTCCATCCCAGATCTCTTGTCTGGAGCATATCTTCTCTCTCCAAGTCCTTGGCCCAATCATACTTTACTCACAGAGTTCCTTTGAGTTAACAGTGTTCAGCTGTTCAGTGACCTTGAACCATGTGTATAGGTCTAAGATCAAAGTAATAGCAAAATTATATGAAAAATCTTTGTCTAGAGCATATCTTCTCTTCCCTTGTTCCAGTAGGGCTCATACTTCACCCAGAGATTGCCTTTGGGTAAAAGGTGTGCAGTGTGCTGTTTCTAGGTCTAAGGTCAAGGACATAGCAGAATGACATAAAAAAATCCTTGTCCATAACTCATCTCTCCCCTTGATCCAATGTAGCTCATACGTCAACTCACAGAGTTGGTTTAAATCATGACCCCCTAGGGGTAGGATGGGGCCACATCTTAAAATCTTGATAACAATAGTTACCGGGTAAGCAATGATTTAGTAATATGGATTTGGAAGCATCATCTTGTAGCATTTATGTCATTTTGTCTTGCAAGCTTCTAGTTGGCTTCATAGTGTAAAACTTATTAATTTAACAATTAATTTTTTTTCCAGCCACGGGTTCCTGTGCCCCATCCCTACCTTCTTCCCAGGACTGGTATGAAAAGAACAAAACACCGAGAGAAAAACTAAATGAAGCTTTGCAGAGACTTTCAGGTAAGAAGAGTTATTACATGCAAATCATGACCCCCAGGTAATGGGCTTCAATGGGGTATCAAGTTTTTACATATGAATAAATATATAGAAAGAGATGTCAATTGGTCAATATTTGATAATTAGTTACTCGTTTACAGTCATGCACGTTAACCGGGTACTTGGTAAAATTGTAAATAGAAGTCTGTTAATTTTCTTAAACCCAGTTTAACTCTGTTAAACCCCAATGTTTTTTATTTGAGTGCATGTTTTAGAAACATCGAGTTCAATGATATAGGGATATTGAACTTATATTGTTGAATATTGACACTCATGGGCTAATGCACGAGCTTGTGAGTGCATTTGTACAGGCAACGAGTGCCAATTAATATTCACTAATATAAGTTCAATAACTCCTTATTGTACAGCTAAAACATTTCCACTTAATTTATAATAATTATTCCAACTGAAAAAGACAAAGTAATGATTTTTTTAAATATCGATATTCAAATTAACATCTGTGCTGTGAGCGTTCAATATCGCATCATTCCGATAACCCTACCGAGCGATATGGTTTGCTTATTTAGGTTTTCATGGGTCTAATATCTACTACATTTCTAACAAATAATTCATTTTGTGTAAAAAATAAACAAATCTTACCTAAATGCCACATTATTTTGTTAATTTAGCTCTGAGAATTTGACCATACGACTTTTAGTTGTTTACAACGGAGTGTTCGATATTAAACCCTCGTATTCAGAATGTTTCGGGCAGACTCGTATATGTAATACAAAGTCATGCAGCGTTCAATAAAATGTCGTGATATTAAACACTAAACAATCTCTAGATTTTTGGTTGTATCTAATTGCATACTATTTATTAGCTATATGATAAAAATGATTTATTGTACATTGTACTTTATTTATTTAAAAAAAATAATCACCCAAACAAAACATATCAATTTGATACACCAAGAGGACCGTAATAGGTGAGAAAAGCTGTATACCAGGTAATTCACAGGTCCCTAATTACTAATATATACACACTGGCGACAACTGGTGTTTTACAGGTGTAGGTGATGGCACTCTTATTATTATTTGCACATATAAATTATTTTTAGGTAACTTTTTAATAAATATATGTTTTGTGGAATAGGAAAAAAATTATACATCTGTAACTGAGTACCAGTTTATTCTCAAAGAACAAAGTCATGATCAGTCAGTCAGATTTTAGCATCGATCCATGTCAATGTATGTAGTGTAGGGTAGACTCAAGTTTGTTCAAATTATGCCCCCCCTCCCCAGGGTAGGGTGGCAGACAAAAAAATTTTGTATTCAAAAACAGAAAAGCCATTATGAGTCATATGAATATGAAAGTATATCCTCAGATACATGTAGTAAAGATTCAATTTCATTTAAAACAAGACCACTGGGGGTAGGGTGTGGCTAATGTGATCAAATTAAGCTTTACATATGATTATGTAGGAGAAGAAATCTGCTGAGAAAGAACAGTAGGGCCATATTGATTATGTTCTAATCTCGGGCAAAGAGAAAAATTAAAGAATGCGTGGGTTTAAAAATTCAATCCCAGATTATAAATATTGCATTGAATTAATAAAATTTCATTAAGTGTCTTATTTTCCATAAAAACGTACGCTACAATGTTTTTCCTGTGTAATTTTAGAAACAGATTTTTAGCCAATCAAATTTGGGGTCTAATTCTTTGCCCGAGACTATAACATACAATTCTATGGTACATTTTTACTTTCCACTCGGCGAGCAGAGTTTTGACGCTGATTACGGAGATAAAAGAAAATAAAGACAAGCATGCCAGATATGCTTGTGTAGATAAATTAATTTGTAGAAGACATAGGTATAAACAGTTTACCCGTGCATTTCCTCTGAAAGTATAAATGAGCGCGATTCTAAAGGAGGGGGGGGGGGTACTCCGTGTAATTTGGAGTTAGATACCTTGTGTTATTATTATACTATGGGTCAAAAATTCATTCAGTTTTAACAATATTTGCCCCCCAAATCAGACTTTGATGGAGATGTATATTTAATTAAGTTCTAAAACAGGGGAGTAAATGCTGACTTCAAAGCACTAAATATTTTCGTAAGTAATGACGCAATATGTACATAATGACGTCACAAACATGACGTAAATTTCAGTTTTTTATGAATTTTACAATTTTTCGTCGATATTTTGGGATGTGCAATTTTTATATTATGTGTAGATATACCAGTCGTTCCTGATAACTTGCGCTCTATTTTTTGTTGAAATTTTGTGGATAAAAAATCGGACTAGTTTGTGACGTTATAAAAACAAAAATTGTGAATACACTGCTTTGACACCATAATATGATCTGTTAATTTATATTTCTCAGACAATTTATTGAATTCAGCACATTTCAGGAAGTTTTCAAAATTTGACTTTTGTGGGGGCAAATATATGCAATATACCGCATATAGTTCTTTATTACAGAAATAAGTGCCTGTGGGATATATATATATATATAAAATCTCTAGATTAAATCAAATATATGCAATATACCGCATATAGTTCTTTATTACAGAAATAAGTGCCTGTATATATATATATATATATATATATATATATATATATATATATATATATATATATATATATATATATATATATATATATATATGGGAATCACTTTTGTGCAATTTTGTAGGGATGTGCAATTTTATCGATATACCAGTATATCGCGATTTTTTGTTGTGTGATATGTATCGTGATACTGAGACCTAAATGCCGGTATTTAGGTACAATGTACATATTATTAAGTCTAGAAATTATTCATTTATTTGTTCAATCTTTCAAATTACAATTGTAGAAAGTCTAAAAAATGTTGTAAAAGGTGAATATTAATATATCGGCATCTTACCATCCAAATGTGATTAATTTTAAGTACATAAACATTTCAAATAAGTGAAATTTTGATGTTCTAGCTAATTTTTTAAGAGAAATAAATAATGACAATTCATTAAAAGTCATTGTAAAAATTTCTTCTAAAAATATCATGACATTATTGTGATATTTTGGGAAAAAATGTGATATATCGCTATACGCAATTTTTGGCAATAGATACTCATCCCTGAAATTTTGTCTGGGCCATAACAGATATTTAAAAAGTGATTAACAGTAAAATAAAAATCATTTATCCTGAGATTTATATTGACTAATTCAAACATAACTATGGCTGCTATTTTTCAGTCAATATGGATGGAAACAGTTCTGGTAACAGCTCTAGATCTCCGACCCCACCTCCACTGAGTTCACAGTGGGACACACCACCAGTGGAATCAAGACAAAACTTTGGAAGCAACACCTCATCCAGATCACAGACTTCCCATTCTTCTGACTCAGTGGCAAGGAGCAGCAACAACATCCCAGCTCCTCCTCTGGATCCTCCACTGAGTTGTGGATCTAGCAGCTCATTTGTGACGTACACCATCAAGCTCCAAAATCAAATATATGAACAATAAAGTGTCTCCTCCGCAAAGTTCCAATTCCAAAACAGGGTGCAAGTCTCCTCCTGGCCCGGCCTCTCCTTCATCAAGTCACAGAAAGAGCCAGTCTGAAATTGAATCGACTAAATTCACTAAAGATCACAACCATCAGAATTATATTAAGTTAGGATTATGTACATCAGAGAAAAGTTCCATATAACCAGCAAATATGTGATGTAGCCTTTAAGGTCGGGAACAAACTAATTCCTACCCATAAAATTGTATTGGCTTCACAAAGCCCACTCTTTGCTACTTTATTTGAAAAGGAGGCATTTCATTATGATGCAGCTACCCCTAAAATTTTAACAGTGCGGGGAGTGGCAGAAAAATCAGTACTGGCATTTCTAGAGTACTTGTACTCAGGAACAATTGAGATCAAGCCAGCCATAATTTCTGATCTCCTCAAACTTTCAAGTGCCATGATATTAAAAAACTGTGCATGAATCATATAACTCATGCAAGTAATTGCTGAAAATTCTACCGATTGTCAAAAGCATCAAGGAAGAGGATTATTGTGTGAAAATCTTAAGCGTGATAGCAAAGAACTTTATCAAAGTGAAATTAAGAGACTAGCTCCTTTTATGAATTAAATAAAGAGACACTATGCTTGATCCTGGAACAGGACTCATTAAACATAAAGTCAGAATTGGATGTTTTTACCTCCGTTATTTCGTGGATACAGCACCACGATTATGAAGTTAGAGTACAATATTTAGAGGAACTCTTATCTTAATTACGTCAGGTTCCCTCTTATGTCTCAAAAGGAGCTGTTCAGGTGTTTTAAAATCTTTAAACGTAATTACAAGAAAGTTGTTGAGATGATCGCTATGGCCACCTGGTAAGTATACTGGTAATTTACAATGAAATAACGAACATACTGTAAAATTTAATATACCTTTTCCATGGGTTTATAATTTCACGGAATAACAATTTCTGTTCAACATTAGGGTAACTAATCCATTTCTTAGATTGACTTAAGTTATATGTACAGTACAGCTCACGAGTTTTTGCCACCCCACGGTGGAAAATACACGGTGTAAAATACTCCGTGTTACACCGTGTACACGGTGTTCCACGGTGTGCGTATATTGCGATTATTCCAGAGTCGCACCGTGTAACACCGTGGACATTACCGTTTCCATGGGAGACCCTCCGTGTTCCACCGTGCGAGAAAATTACGAAAGAAAATAAGTTGTTTATAAAAATCATTTCAGTTATAGAATTTTGAAATTATAAATAATGATTATTGGATAGCTAGGGGAAAAAATCGAAAATGAAGATTGTCTTAATACAAACAGCTCGTTAACAAACATGTTAGTTCACAATATAACAGCTTCGAGGTGTAAACTTTGGTTCGCCATTGACGGTATGATTGCCAAGTATGTTGAATAAATTTAAATTTTATTTCTGTTGAATTCATATTTCATATTTATTTGAAAACAAAAACAATTATATATATCTATTGTGGAA